GCAGGAGCAAAGGCCCTGAGGTGGGACTGAGTTTGGAGGCTTTGTAGATGAGCAGCATGGCCAGTGTGATTGAGTGGGCTGAACAGGGGCAAAAGCGAGCAGAGTCCAGGCCGGGGGCCTTGGTGGTCAGAAAGGAGGTTGTTGCATGGCACTGAAGCAGGGGCGTGACCCCATCTACCTCCTCCCTCAGCTACAGCTGCTTGGTAAAGCCTGTCCTGTGGATGAACCAGCACTTAGTAAGCACCTACTGTGTGCCCAGCGGTAGTGGGCACCTTATCCCTTTTCTCACTGAGTCCTTCAAGAGCTCCTTTTGGGCTGTCCACATGAGGAGAGGCCAGGCTTGCCCATGACCCCGTGGGCCAGTTGTCCTGACCCGGGTGTCCCCCAGAGGCCCTCTGCTCCATTAGCCCAGCCAGAAAAGGACGTGTCCACATGAGCAGATGGTCTGCTGGTTCAGCTTTTCAGAAAAGAGAGTGGGAAAGGCCAAGAGGAGCCTCAGCTGGCAGCCACCCAAGCGGCTTTGCCAGGAGAACAGGGTGGGCTGTCCTAAATCTTTGGGGTCGGGATGGATGAGCACCCACTTCAAATGGGATGATCCCCAGGGGCCTGACTGCTGTGGGAAAATGAGCAAGATTCTGAGGCTGGAGGGCAAAAGGGACAGTGTGAGAAGCTCCCACAAGGCTCTGTTGCCCTCACATAGTAAACCCAAGTGATGCTTGGAATTCCACCATTAATGCTTTCTTCATTGGTGATAAACACAGCCATCCATCTATCTACCCACACACTCACCCACCCACCCACCTATCCATTCACCAATCTGTCCATCTACCCACTCCCTCACCACCCATCTACTTACTCATCCATCTACCTAACCATCTATCCATCCATCCATCTACCCACCCACCTACCCATCCACCCACCCACCCATCCACTCAATCGTCTACCCACCCACCCATCCATCCACTCACCCACCCACCCACCCACCCATCCATTCATGCTCACTAAGTATTCATTCAGCTCCTACTAAGTGCCTAGTACTGTACCACATGGTGGGACCCATAATTAAGCCATGATCCTGGAAACAACCTATATAATCATCAATAGAGCTCGTTAAATAAATGATGGCCCATGATGCGGAGAATACAGAGCTGCTGTTAATGAGAATGAGCCAGGCCTCCATGAACTGATGTGGAATGAAATACAGGAAGATGAAAATTAGAAGAGTCAGCAGTGTGTGTGGTGTGCTGCCATTTGCTTAAGGAAGGTAAGAGGGAGGATCTACTTAAGCCCAGGTCTACTTGGATATGCCTGGAAGGTCTCTGGAAGGATACACAGAAACAGGTACCAAAGATTGCCTCTGAGGAGTGGCAAGGAAACGTGTCCGCTGTGTTCCACTGCAGGCTGTTTGAATTTTTTCCTTTTTTACAGCATGCATCTGCTACCTGTTTAAAACGAGAAACGTTTTGAATAAGAAAAAATAGTACTACTATAGAAAGACAAGAAAACACCAACTTAGAAAACTTAGAAAAAATAGTACTACTATAGTAAGACAAGAAAACACCAACTTAGAGTATGGGTGATGTGTCCATGATGGGAAAGGTACAGAGAACCACGGGAGTGGAGAGGGGGTGCCTCTAACTCAGCCTGGGGCAATCAGGGAAGGCTTTCCAGAGTAGGTGATGCTTGCGAAGAGCCTCCCAGGCTAAGTGGGGTTACAGGAAGGAGGAGGGTGAGGGAATTCCTGGCAGGAGGAACAGCATGAGCAAAAGCTTGAAGGTAAGGCTCAGTGTGGCTGGAGCAAAGGCATGGATGGGGGTCGGAAGCTTGGAATTTTTTCTGTGGGCAATGGGGAGCCACGGACAGGTTTAGGAAGAGCCCTCTGGCAGCTGTGTGGATCAGAGCAGGGAGACCAATGAGACTGAGGTAGAGGGGCAGAGAGGGGGGTGGGCTGTGAGTCCCTTACAATGATTTTAGCAAACTGCGCTGCAAAGAGCACTGTGCTTTTCACCTGTGGCTGCCCCTCAGAACCCCGTGGGGAGCTTCAAATAAATAGCCTCGCCCTGGCCCTCCTCCCAGTCAATTCCATTGGCATCAGGATTTAACGGGGCTCCTGGTGACTCTGCTGTAAAGCCAAGGTGAAAACCACGAGCAAGGCAATGAGTTGGCCAAATAAGTGAGTCGGGCTGAGCTTGTGCCAGTTCAAGACCCCTGGTGGCACCAAGGCTTGGCGCTCAACTACTGCCCTCAAGGTTGGTGCTTTAAACTCACCCTGCGGCACTGAGGAAGAGAGGCCTGGAAATCTGCTTCCGTAAAGAGTACAGCCAAGAAAACCCTACAGAGCAGTTGTACGCGGTGACACGTGGGAATCAGCATGACAGCAGCGGGTATGGCAGCTTTTGCTTTGTGTTGACTCAGCTTCTTCAGGTGAGTGCTTCAGGCGTAGGTGAGCTCTGAGGGGGTCAGAATGCTTTGCTTTTGCTGAAGAAAACGAGGCAGGGAAAACCCAGGGGGCTGAGGTCACCCAGACCAGCGCAAAGGCTTGAGAAAGTCACTTTCCTTGCTCCCAATCATGTCCACCTTGAAGGGTTGTTAGGAGAAACAATGGGATAAGACTTTAAGAGCCTGGCACATCACAAGGGCTCGATAGACCGTTTCAACAGACGTAACAAGGGTTCTGAAGGGACAGCTTATTCAGAGATGTGTTAAGACCAACCTGGAGATGGCAAAAAATACCATGGAGTTCTGGTGGTGTAGTGGTTAATGCGTTCACCTGCCAATCAAAAGATCAGTGGTTCAAACCCATCAGCTGCTCCATGGGAGAGATGAGGTAGTCTGTACCTGTAAAAGTTTACAGCCTTGGAAACCCCATAGGGCAGCTCCACCCTGTCCTAGGGCCACTATGAGTTGGAATCCACTCAGTGGCAGTGGGTTTGGTTTTTGGAGCTTCCTGAAGGGTGCACGGCGCCCTCGTGTGGTTGAAACTGTATTTGTCTGGGGATAGTGGTGTCTTTCCCGTAAAACTTAACACAGTATTTATTTCTGAGCCATGTTCTGAGGTTCTGGCAGTACTGCTTTGACTGTTTAATAGCAGCTTCTGATGTGCACAATTCTATTTCGGCTCTCAGAGGAGGTTATGGAGACAAAAATGTCTTGTTTTAAAAATCACAAAGAGAAGCAGCAGGGAATTGCAGTGCTAGCTTGTAATAAAGGGACCGAACCGTTCAGCCTTGAGGGACCGTGAATTAAACAGCAGGACATGCCACACAGGACAATTTTACACGGCTCCACCCAGCAGCTCTAATTTGAGAGTCTTATAAAGTCCCTGCTTTGCGGCCTTGCCCACAAGCTGCGGGTGGAATGAACGGCCTTTGAAGTTGTGTGCCCTTCATCGGTGCCCAGTGTCCATTAACAGAAAGGCAGCCAGCTTATGCCTGGACTCGAAATCCAGCACCAGAAAAAACAAACATCTTCCTTCTGAAGAGCCAAAGGAGATGAGACTGTGTGCGTCAGAATGTCAGCCACTTGTGTTCTCACTCGCAAAATGGCCATCCTCTCATGGGATTTCAGCTGGTGCACCCAGGGGTGGGGTGGGGTGTGCCTCGGGATGCTGCCCCCCGCTCCTCAACACTGGGGTAGATAAGGGGGGACGGGGCGGTGACTGCCAGGTCTGTTATTCACCCCTCAGCCAGCGATGGAGATTAAAATAATACCGTTAGGTGGCCAGCACTACCACAGACAGCTCAGAGGGGACTGCTTAATACCCTGCTTGTGCAGGTCAAAGTTACGACACAATTTCTTCCCTGTGGTTTGCCTTACCTGCCGCCATGCAAAACCACCTAGGAGAGGGAGTCTCCAAAGTGAGGGACACTGACGTCACCTGTACAACCAGAGTCAGAACCCTGGGCCTGGAAACCTATATTTTAAACTGACTTCCCAAATAGGTTGTTGTTGTTGTTGTTGTTATGTGCCGTCGAGTCAGCCCTGACTCATAGCGACCCCTCCTTGGGTTTCCGAGGCAGTATCACTA